CCTTCTTTTAATTGTTGTAAAAGCGCGGAATGCCGGCTCGCGGCGGCAGGTGTTTGCTCAGTCCAGGTTTGGGAGTCGATGTTTCGCCACGGATTCCCACTGGATATTTACTTGCTTAATGCAGCGCGCGACTGTTTGTTTACGACGCACGGTGGATCTAGTCAATAGGCGAGGTCGGACGAAATTTGGAAACTTTAAACGCTTATAACTCCGTTTAAACAACACTCTAAGATTCTAAAAGTGGTTCCGTGGGTTTCCTAGTGAAATTTTCTTCTACAAGCACCCCTCGAAATTTAAAATGTGACGAAATAAACATCAAAATTCGCAGTTATAGTAAAAAATTTCATGTCCGACCTCTTTAATTGACTGGATCCACTGTGTGTCGCTTGCATGCAGCTTGTAAGGTAAGCGTTTCAGTTGCATTAGAGTATCAAACGCAAGAGCCCGTTATCTCAGCAACTTCGGCTGTTTGCTCTGTCTCCGGTGTGTCTACTTTCGTATCAAAGCTTTTTGAGCAATGTGAGGATTGAAGGAATAGCAGGGTCGTATAATTTTTTGACGGATGGACTCTCTCTTACGATTTTGTTCGAAGATCAGAACACTTAGAGCGCCTTTGATAGGTCAAGACTTGACTAATTTTTCGGCTAATCGGAGACTTTCGGATTTAGTCACGAGACTTTTATCGTTATAGTTTTTACGCTTTCCTCGGATTCTCATGATGGTGCTTTGCAAATTGTTCGTGAGTTTTATGAGATCATGTAAGGTATTTCGGAGTATTGCATTTTTTCTTATTTCTGGAGTTTTTTTTGTTTTGTTTTGTTTTTTGTGGGTAAGTATTTGTGATTTTGGCAGATTCTTCATTTTCAGGCAGTTTTCCACTTTTAAATTTGTTCAGTAATATAACCTCAGACAAACTCAAGGAGTCTCCCTTATGAGTCATCAATGAAATGAGAGGCTTGGAAGACGAGTGGGGTAAGTGTAGTTTTTGAAAAGGCCATGAGACATTAATGATATCAACTTAAACTGGTCTCAATTCTTATTCTGTAAAAAATTCAACGTGAAAATCCAATTTTTAAGCATCAAAAAGTGAGTTTGAACTTTCTCTCCGCCGTAAGGTTCCATTTAATTATTCAACTTTAAACGCGTATTTCTTGAAATAGCGAGAACTGCACTCGTGCGCCTTATCCTCCAAGCCCCTCAAATCGTTTCCGACACCATCAGTCGTTATATGCCATGTTGATTCTGGTAACGTCGAAGGTAACTGAACGCAGAAAATTATTTAACACATTATCTCCAAAATTAAGACAAAACTTTGAAGAATTTGCACACTCAGAAGTTAGTTGCACGTGTTCATTCTTTCTTTGATGAGGATTGTGGGGAAAGGGTGGGAGTTGCACCTTGAGTTGAAGGTGAAGGGAGACTCATTGCTTAGTTAAGGATGTTTTCGTGTTAAACATTCGATTGAAATCGATTTTATATGACGTCGGAGAAACAGAGGGGTCTGTTGGTGGCGCTCAACGTGACTTGAAACTGTCTAGCACCACGGAGGAACGTCATTACGGCAAGGACGCGGTAGATCTATTTATTCTTGCATTTGACATGGTCGATGGAGCGAAGAAGCTTGCTGAGGTCTACTATCGGACTTGGCGGAGTTGGTCGAAATTGAGTTTGCACAAAGGAGACGTGCTTTCTTCGCTCAACAAAACCAAGCCCCGGGGTCTCTTGTTCGAAGCCGCCCGCCATGTCAAAGCGGCCGGCGTGCCGTCTGATTTTGTCTATTGAATAAGCCCGTAATGTAAATAACTATCAAAATCGGTCGCCACTGCCAGGCTATAATAGCCTGAGACTTAAAGCGTATTTTTTTCACTAAAATTAGCTGCAGATCTAAAAGTCTACCCCTTTGGATATTAGGCTTGTTTATACCGATTAAGAGGCTGAGATAGCTCTTGATTGTCAGGATAAATTTCACTTAAAATTTCAAAAAGTCTCTTTCATGCAAAATTTCATGCGAAACAACATGAAATATCAATTGAGTGAAATTTTGCTTGCAATTTCACGTGAAATTTCGAATTCTTATTTTTCATGAAATATCAGCTAGAAAGACATCTCAAAGTCAAAGTCGCACAAATATCAACCCCCTCCCCCCGATCCTTCTACAGGGTGTCTAGTTTTTTCTCATTTTGGGAAATTCTGATAAAATCTTGATTTCTCCTGATTGTTGACTGCTAAATCCTGATTTCATCATTTTTCCGCATCCTGATCAAATCCTGATTTCACGCACGGCGAATGCAACTTCACAAAAATAGCTCGATAAAAAGTCCGATCGGACGGCCGACTTTTCTCAAATCCTGATAAAATCGAGATTAAATGCTGATTAACCTCAAATTCTGATGGAATCGGGTAAATTGGGAAAATCCTGTTGCTAAACACCCTGTTTTATACCCTTAACAATTAATATGACTTTCGAGCGACTTTATAGAAAAAACGTCTACTTGGTTGTCTGTATCTTTGGTGTACAATGGACACATAAGTATCAAGAGACACTTGAGCCACACCGGACGTAACGACGCGGAATATGTCTGGAGCCTTCTTGAAGTCAGGACGTCAGGACGTGGATGAGCATGGGAAGCTTTCATACGTCCAACGTCGCGTCGGCCGCTGATAATAGCTATTGTGCAATTATTCAGCTACGTGCAACGCGCGCTCCGGACGAACGGTGAGGTCAAACAAATTCATTAAGTATAAAAGAGAAAGAAAAAAACCAGGGGGTGGTTGAATAGACCCAGTGCGCGAACCTCCAAGAAAATTGCCTCCATTAAGTCTCAATAATTCCCGCAGTCACTTCATTATTGTCGGCTATTGCTCTCATTATGTGTACACTCGCGTTATTTAAAGTCGCACCACTGCTCATCGACTCTCAACTCAAATTTGTGGCAGCCTATTGATAGTCTTCCCCCTCCCCTTATATAAAAAAACGTGCATTGGTGATGTTAACGTTAAGACCCTTCAATGGTGCTGTATTTTTAAAGATTTAATCGCTAATTTTACTAATTTGAAGTGTATAGTATACAATATGGTCTGCGGGTCATATTCATCGTGATTTCTGCAAGATCATGACGTCATGTTTCACCGTTGAAATGGGTCGTACTTCTTTCAACTATGTCCATGTCTTGGTGGTGAATCACTTGGTGCAACTCCAAGACGAATTGTTATATTCATCACAGATTCGTGACGTAGAGATCGTTCGCTCTAACAGAGAAAGCTATGTTGGTGAGGTATCTACGTGTCAAAATGATCGCACCCTTCAAGATTTGGTTGTGTACCAAACGCGTCTTCGTGAAGTGCGATCGAGCAAATTTTGTTTCTTGGGCTTCTTGATCCGAATCGCCCAGATGATGCAAAGGTTTATTCAGAAGATTTTTTTTTTCCTTTTGAAGGGGGAAAAATTAAAATCCTCTTTTTTGGAGAAAAAGAAGAAATGTAAAATGGGACATGAAAACTAAAATTTTACGAAAGAAGGAATAACTTAGGGTCTATCACATCTACATTACACTCAATCGTCATCGCGTGCTTAATTAACAACACTACTGCAACCGTTATGATTGGAAACTCTACGATCTAAGAAAACAATAGTGATTATAAATTAACGGCGCATATCACAGGCCTGAGATTAGAGTTTTTTGCATGTGATTCACTTTCTACGGATTGCTTATATATTTATCGATAAATGGTATGGGATGAGCCAGCGAAACGAGATATTTTCACTGTTCTATCTTAATTAAGTAGAGTTATTATTATGGAGCGCGGGGAATGTTCTCTTTCATATCAGACCGCCAATGTTGTCAAATTTCTGGAAAATATACGACTGAGTTAGCACGGAGCCATAACACAGTTAACCTTATCAATAAATTTAGTTTTCTGGTACTTGTGTTCAGTTGCAATTCTCAGAAAGTCTCATTTTATCAAGCGATGAAGCTTATGATATTAAAGCCTCATCGCTTGAAAAAAGTTAAGTAGTGTATGTGATAATGTTAAAAGTGTTAAGAACTGTTAACAGTTAAAGGTGTATGGGATAGCATTAAAATGGGTTTACATTCAAAATGAATCGTATTCGATACATCAAACAGGTGCGATTGTATCGATATCGATTGGTTCAAAAATGTAAACATCATAGCCTCAAAAGTCAATCGAGTAATATGAGGGAACGGGTATTTTGTGATAGATTTTATTTTTATGAATGCAATTTGGTCATAAAAAGTAAAATTGTTGGGAATTTTCTCATTTTCAGCTTTTTCAACTTAAATCCTAGAATTTTGGTTTGAGGTTATATTCTATTGTTTTGAACCAAACAATACGTAGAACCACTATCGAATACGATCTATTGCATCGCGCTCGTAATTTTTTTTTTTTATTCTTCCAATCTCTTTCTCTCATTTTTTTAAAATTTTTGATAAAGTCAGGGGATAGGGCTCTTGAGGCGGAGACTTAAAATACACAATGCAGCAAGAAACCCGACTTGAGGTAAAAAAATGCAGACTTTAAGTTTTTTATGCTGAACGCTTCTTTGTTTTCTTAAAAAACTGGATTAAAATTTTGAGTCAAATATAGTTTTCATTGTAAATTATAGTATGCGCGTTCGAAATGAATCATTCGAAAGCTAACAAAGTCACCAGCTGACTTTATACGTGCTTTCTCCAGATTTGCGATTTATTATGATCCAACATTGAAATAGTCTCAAAAGATCAGTTTTTTGGATTTATTTGGAAGAGCTTTGCTCCAAATTATGGAGAATGAAGTCTTGTAAATTGTAAAATGGTTGGTGATTATGATTTCTCATTTGTATTCCTACCTCAAGGGCTCTTCTGCTTGCCTCGCCTTGACTGAAAAATAAATTGACTCGCCAAAAAAGTTGTTCATTTTACACAGCCTGGAACCACACACGGGCATTGATGCGATTGTTTCTTTAAAATCAAGACATACAATAAAAAATATTCGCAATTTGCATTGCAAATTGGCCTCGTCGCATTTCGACCGCGATGAGATAAACCTCGCGATTCAAACGATGCTAAGCCGGGTGACTGTCTCCGATTCGTCGCCGCAAACGTTTTGGTTTGGGCTGGTTTGTTTGACCTTGCAAATTGGCACCTCGTCCAACAGTCAGTGTGGCTTTGACTCCAGCCACTCTCAAAACAGAGTCCAGCTGTATCATGGCTTCGTGTCTGGGAGTAGTGTTTTTGGCGATTTTCAGTGCTTTTTTCCCTTTTCAAACCGGGCATGGAGCTGAGCCGACCCTCAAATTTTTAAGTTTTGTAAGTACATACTTTTTACCGGTCAATTTTTTATTCATAATCTTCCACACCCTCATAAAACATTGTAAGATTAAAATGTACACAGTATTTGACAAAATTACTTAAATTCAATATTATCTTTTTCTCTTGAATACCGCAGTCTAGCTTGGGATTCTTATTTTCATACACACGTTTACTCACGTCACTCCATATGGGTGGCGTTAATCATTTTCCTCATTCACACAACGCTTGATAACGTATGACCTAGTTATGGAGTGTGATTAGTTTACTTTGACCTTGAAATGTGAATTGTATCAGTTTCTTTTATTGTGCATCTGATGTTTTCTGTCGCACACTTTATCTTAATTTTGACGGCTTTGAACCATTACATTGAAACAAACCTCAACGAAATGAGGGGAGGGGGGCGATATTAACTAAGGACTGCATTCGTCTGCTTAGTGAGGATATTCTTTTTATTAGCTGTATTTTCATGCAGCACAACCCACCTGTAGAGCAAAACAATTGGGACTTGCATATTAAAATAGTTGGAATTTTTACTAAAAATTTAATGAAACTTATTTTATCAGAAATTCACATGGTATTAATGTCGTAGACTCACAGATTATAATTCTGCTGTGCTAAGGAAGAGCACCGTATGAGCCCTTTAGACGTTGCCGAATTTCCCTCAACATAAGGATTTTTATGGAAGACTGTTAATATTTTTCTCCAAATTTTTCAAAGATTTTTGTTCGCAATTAAATCTTAAGTATATCTAAAAATTTCCAAGAAAACTAATCATAAATTTCCTCAAAAAGTAACGTTTTATGGGTGGAAATTTGGCAACTATCAAACGCTCATAAGGTGTTTTTCCTTAGCACGGCAGTATTTTATTATAGCTAATACTTGTGTGCACTGGGATACGTGCTGGAACATTTTTTTGTTATATTAAGTGCACTTTCGATTAAATTTTCTACAGATTCATCGACATGGCGAGAGAGCTCCAATTGAGACGTACCCAACTGATCCATATAAAAATGACTCATATTGGCCTGAGGGACGAGAGGAACTTCTAAGAGTACGTAATACTATTCCCGTCATTTTTTTCTTTTCCTCAAAAAATTGAATTTAAAAAAACTGCTATTCCAAAATTTGGTCTTTAGTTGGTCTTACTTAGTTGGTCTTAATTAGTCGTTGCATTATAAAATGCCCACTGCATGCCAACATCTTAATTTCTTAACTCGTATAACCATGGGAGAGGAAAAGAGTTTAGTCCTAGCATAATACACATTTTTGCAAAATTTGTGGAGCCAACTTATCAAAAAACATTCTCCTCTTGCATCAAATGAGTAAACAAGTTTAAATCAATTTCATACGATTCAGGAGTCAGAAAATGTACCTAGTCCAGGATTATTTGTATGTTTTACGTTCCAGGTCGGCAAAGTGAATATGCATAATTTGGGGAGATTTATTCGTGCAAGATACGATGGCTTCATACCCAGGAAATACAAAGCAACTGACTTGCTGGTGCGATCAACTGCTACGAATCGGGCTATCATGAGTGCTCAACTTGTGCTGTCCGGGCTGTACCCACCTCACGATGAACAAGTCTGGGATCGTGACATTTGGGTCGCCAAATTTTGGCAACCCATTCCAGTTCAGGTGCTAGCTCCTTCCATCGACGATGTAAGAATTATCATTTTATAGTCTTAAAACTATGTATAATTAAGGTATAACCAGAGGTTCACGTTGACAATCGCCCCTATTCCAAAAAGGGTAAAAGGGTTGGGGAGTGATATTTGTCGGTTTGAAATCCTTGTCTCCTCCCACTCTCCACTTTCCAGGTTTCATGATTCACGCCTCTGAACAAAATCGATCTTGCTTTGACAAAAATTGATCTCATAATACTTTATGATAAAATACTGAAAATCACCCCCAAAATTTTTAATTTTTTCATTCTTCACAGACAGCAACGAAAATGTATGATGGGAATTTTCATCTGTGTTAGCTTGACGTTCAATTCAAACGGTTTACTCTTTAACCCTAGTCTGCCTGAGTGGGGTCAGATTGACCCCACGGGAGTTTCAACTCTTTGTCATTTCTCGTGGTATGCACGAAATTTTTTGTCCTTCACAAACAGCTCTACAAAAACATCTAGGAACATGATTTTGAAGGAAAAAATAATAAAAAAAAAAAAAAAAAAANGAGGGATCAAAAAATGCACGAGTACCCCTAGAAAGCCTGAGCGGGGTCAGATATCCTTATAACTTATATTTTACCATTTAGCATCACAAAAGCTTACTTTGAAGGTGTATTCATTTTTCTCTTTTTGATTTTTTTCAGAAACTTATAAAACAAGCAAAATTTTTCAGATTTTTTTCGTTTTCAGTATTTAGTAGCCACAATGATTTTTTTTTTCTCATGCTGAGAACAACATGGCAACATGTGTATGATAAAATGGTTGCATACCCTGCGCCGTGTTTTTTAAAACTTCGATATGCTTTATGGTTAAGGCCTGTGAGGTTAAAGCACTGATATTAACTAAAAACATGAAAAAAACATAGCTAACTAATTGATTTTCAGCTGGGGTCAAATTGACCCCGCTCAGGCTTTCTCGTTGGTTCAGAGGCTCAGGCAGACTAGGGTTAAACTTAACTAAAATTGTATGTATTTTTACAGATGTTATGCGTATCCAGGGTATGTCCACTTCTTTACGAAGATCGAAAGAATTTTACGGGTGGTCCCTACCAAGATATTCGAGAGGAAAATCAAGAGGTCCTTAAGTACATACAAAACCACACAGGTTTGGATTTCGAATCGGACTCGGACATTGGCATAGTGTATGATAATCTTTTGATAGAGGTAAGACTGAAAAAAAGAATGTTATCTGTTCTTTCTTTTTTTTTTTTAAAGAAGTCACACAATTGAAAAATGTTCATTGTCCAAAAGATTATAAGAACACAACCTCATGCGTGGTTTCAGCAGAATACAGAATTATAATTATTCTGAATAACAAGAAAGTAGGTTTTTTTCCTTGAAAATATAAGAGGGAGATCCATGGTTCAATACAACTTAAATTCTCAGGATGAAGCTGAAACTTCGGAAGTAGAATTTGATCACACTTTGATCGGGTCAGGTAGCATGAAACCAGTTTTTGAGCACTTAATAAGTTAAGTACGACGAAATGTAATATGCTATTTATTTCAGATTGTAGATAAGTGCTTCTATAAAAGCGACCATGCACTTGGTATGTCTCTAAAAAGCTCAGTCTATTTTTAAAAAAAAAAATCATCTCTGTAGCATTACGTATTTGAAACTTTGAAGATATAAAATAAAGCTTCTTCTGAGATAAAGAGGTAACAAACTACGGATGCACATTCGGCACTTTAAATCCTAGATAGATTTTTCTGTTCCAATGTGCATTCTCGTCCTACATAAAGTCTAACTTCTCACATGTATACAGCAATTTAAGTTTCCTTGTCTTATCCTGTTTTTATGTTAGGAGGAACAAGGTCTCAAATTACCCGAATGGACAAAAAAAGTTTGGCCTGACACAGTAATCTCCTTATACCGTAGAGTTTCCGTTGCACTGAAGAAAAATCCAACCTACACCAAGATTAATTCAGGTAAATTGCTATTTATCGCTGAGAAGAAAGTCATTCTAAAGCTCTCACTTGAGAATGATTGGGGTTGTTCTCGGTGCAGTGTATTACTATAATGATATTGTTTCCTCTCAGGGCCGGATTTACCTACTTACCGCCCATGGGCCGCCTGTATTTTACCGCCCCCTTCTTATTCGTTTTGAAATATCAATAGCGGGGGAGAGGTGCATAAGACGCGTTTACTCGAGTTGAACACATTTTTCGGAAAAGCCCTGTTAACACTACTAGCAAAAGTTCATGGAACTTTGCGCGAAAGTTAAGTTCCGTACACCTATCTCTGTGTGGACAAGACCTTCCATTCAGAACAAACAAATTATGAAAGAACAAACATAAATGTAGTTTAATTATTTTAACTTCCGCCGCCGCGCAGACTGCACTGTGTTTGGCGCTATGCGTGAAGTATTCCGACAGTCTTGTAGGCGCTATGCGGTTCACTCCGACCGCTGCTGAACGCACTGTGTTTGACGCAATGCGTGAAGTATTCACGCAGTCTTGTAGGTGCTAAGCGTTTCACGCTGACTGCAGAGACCGCACTGTGTTTGATGCAATGCGTGAAGTATTCGTGCAATCTTGTAGGCGCTACTATGTATTACATGCCGACCTCCGCGCCGAGGACTTCTCCTTTTCATCTCAAGTCCTCGTCATCATTTCTCTCTAAGTCGCGCCGTTCCAGGCCAAATTGCGTGTTTGGTTTCTCTCTTAACTAGACTAATTAAAGGTGCTGTCTCTTGTATCACTGAAAGACGATAAAATTAGAAATTACTATACTCTCAGGAAATGAGAGATTTTGTCGCCTTTTCTCGTTTGTAATTTTTTTTTCAAAATCCGATATTTTTTTAAAAAAAGTGTAAAATTTGCCGCCCCCTTGATTTGCCGCCATGGGCCGCGGCCCATGTGACCACCCCCTTCATCCGGCCCTGTTTCCTCTGTTATTTTTTAAGTTCTTTAACTTAATTATGATAAGTGCAATTTCATCAAACTTAGAAACAAATTTTTTTCCTATAGTCCTACGTTCAAAGGGTGGTGCGGCAGTGTGTTTGAGAAAACGGATATAATAATGAATTTCAAAATAAGAGGCATGGTAACAAGATAAATTGGCTTCCTCAATTTAAGCTGTCTTGAAAATTATACAACGAAAAAAAGGGTCCGATGATTTCGACTCAGCAAACCCAAATTTGCGATGCACGCAAACTTATTTGTATTACTGAGCAGCAAATATATTGAAGTATTACTCCAAACAAGTTTCTTCACGACACCAAGTCGATGTAGCTGAGTCGAAATAATCCAGCCCGTTTTTCAGTGTATATATCTCCATGAAAAGTATCAATATTGGTGACAGCCTACGCTTCCGTAATGCCGCAATCACACGCTAAATATAGCAGCTGAATGTGGAAGTCAACAGTCATCGCCCAACGGCTAAAATTTCGCAAATTCGAGTTATTTTCATCCAGATGTGTGTCAAATCTATTAGAATAGCTCAGATAAATCCAACATTAGTCCGATGGTTGCTGAGTATCGTTACTGAATATTGCGCGTCACGCGCAAAATTCAGGCATCATCGGGCCGATGACTTCCACATTCAAGCCACATTCAGCGTGTGATTGCGGCATAACTATCTCCTCAGCATCGGCGGATCCAGCCAATTGGCGACATCGATTTTCTCCACGTAAACCCATGGAAATGTATCGATTCTTGGAGGGGCCTGGTGCTTCGACCAGAATCGATTATTTAACATAGGTTTAAATGGCGGAAATCCAGTGTTGGCAAATTTCTGGATCCGCTTCTGCTCTTCAGATTAAAAGAATAATTGAAACCTTTTTGTGATATGAATCCGTCTCACGCATCATTTAACATCAAAATAATTTGAGTTCAATATGTAATCAAAGCCCGGACGATTTTCAGGTGTTTTGATCAATGATCTGTTAACGACCATGCGGAAAAAAATAAACGAGACGGAGAGCTTCAGCCGTTTTTTCAATTTGTACGCTGCTCATGATACGACAATCCTCGGACTCTGGAGAGGGCTTGGGATTAAGGAGCCGGAGTCTTGGCCAAGCTTCGGGGCCTTATTCATCGTTGAACTGCACGAAATCGAGAATAAACACCTTATTAAAGTAAGTCAATTTCTTTTTAATATGTTCGAAGTAATTGCTCTGCTGAAAAAAGATGCATTCACCCTATAGATTTTGAGAAGAAATGTTTGCAAAAAATGAGACAAAAGTCAACCATGCGTTTTTACCGCGGAAGTTAAAGGTTGGCTGTTTACAAAGAGTCAAGGCTAAATGATATTATTTTCCTTTTTTCCATTTTTAATTTTTTTTTTATTACTGATCATGGAGGTTGAAAATGAGACGAGGGGATGCCAGTTCTCAGAGGGGCTTTGGGAGGATGTAGTTCTGTGTCGGTTGAGTGTTGCAGAGCGCTAGAGTGTGCTATAAAAGAAGTACAGGTACATGTCCTACGTAAATTGCTTCTGAGATTTTGGCAACCCCTTCCGATAACCATTCAATACTGTATCCAATGTTGCCTTTGAAATCATCGGCAAAGTGCGCCCTTTTCCCGTCAGCGCAACGGTCATATTCGCACAGAATTATTTTACTTCGTTCCTTCTTAGTGATTTTGTGAGTTATTATTTTATATATTTTTTCAGATCCTGTACAAGAACCGAGCCACGGATGAAGGACTGAAAGTTTTAAGTATCCGAGACTGCACCAAGGACAATGACAAAGAAGGGTGGTGCGATTTTGAAGTTTTAGAGACCCTGATGCAGGATGCCGTTGTGACGAACTACGATGAAGAATGCTACAGCCCCTCTATATCAGCAGCAGACATACCCAACGAAGCTTCGTGTTAGAATGATTTTCATGCACACGCAAGTAAAGAATGATCCAAAGTTTTAAAATTTGATCAAGAAATTTTATTTTTTTAAATTGTATTTATACCTAATACTCATAGCTGTACTGTTGTCCGTCCGCGGACGGATTGAAAAAAGACATTATGGTTCAAAATTTGTCAGTTCCTAAAAAAATTCTCTTGAAAGTAATTTCAGTGGGCCAAAATTCAAAATAAAATACGATAATTTGTTTTAAAGTTTTATAATAAGTCATTGTTTTGTCTTATTATTTCCATGCAAAACTACCGTTCCAGTATTCAACACCTCGTTTTCATCTCGTTTTACAAATAAATTACACATTTGCTTTTCTTCGAGCTTGACTAAGATATTTCAATCCGAGTTATCAAAATTTTAAACGCCTTGAATATTTGTCCCTGTAGCACAAAAAACCCGAGGGCTGACCTCCGCTCATTCAGTATCTGAGAAAAATTCGGGCATGCCAAGAACTGCATGATTATCGTTCAGCAGTTAGCTTCAATTACCAAGGAAGGTTTGCAAAGACGCGATTCGAGCAGGTCGATCTCTAAGGATACAACTATTTCAACTTATGGGATGCGTTTTTGCTTACCTATTTAGACGAAGGCGAACCGCACTCTTACACTCACTCAAAATCATGCTCCATAGCGTGGAACCAATCATTTTCATAATTTAGGCAAAAAATACCTCCTACGTTTCAAAAAAGTCGTACTTGGACCGAGTTCAGCGGAAAGGAACCAAGTCAAATCAGCTATATAGTGCCAAATTTAATCCAGCAATTTAATTTTTCATAAGAGAACGCTACTACGGATCCCTCTAAAATGTTCAAGGAATTTGCTTCACGCTAAGCAGAAAATTTACCATTTGCACAAACATCCACACAACCGTTTTCATGTAAAAAATGTAGTTGACCAGTTGGGTTTAGCGATAGCTGATTTGGCTTGGTTCCTTTCTGCTTAACGCGGTCCATTTTTGAATAATGATCAACGTGTGTCACGTTCTTAAGACGTTTCAGAAATGTGTTGTTGTTGTTGTTTTTTTTTTTTAAACCACACACAATAACGAAAAACTAAACGGAAAAGGGGAAAAACCGTGGCATGAAAGTTTGGTATGAAGCAGTGCGAGCTTTCCGCAAAAATTTCTATCTCGATACAATATGCAAGGATCCGCGCATTACGTCGAAACACGAGCGCTCCTTTATTGCCTTTCCCTGTATCTCGCACCCGGTGCTCTATATACTACTTTCGTTTGGCGTTCGTCGAAGGGCCGCAATTTCTAGGGCGTTCTCCGAGGGAGTAGCTTCGGAATAAAGGCCCGCTCTCAAAAGTCCGAGTTCTCGAGTCGCCGGGTCGTGGATCTCTCGGAGCTCGCTTGACCAAACCCCTAATTACTCGCTGAGAAAAAAAGACGCGTTAGACTGGTTAACAGCGGCGACGCCAGATTGGATTAACGGATTCGGCGAATCCATCTGCGACCCAAAATGCACGGATAAAAAAGAATGTTGTTAATTATTGGGTTCCTGATTACACGAGATCTACGTGAAATCTAGTTACCGGTACCTGTATTTCTGTTTGTGTTAATCAAGCATCGTTGTTATGATTGAGGAGTTAGGAGGAAAAATGGCCAATTCCGGATTAGGCCATTTCTTCGGAGAGCGGTTTTTCTGAAACTGCATAATTTGAATATATTGTATGAATTTTAAGCAATAAAGTTTGTTTGTCTCTTTTCAGGAAGATAAATTAGAATCGTGAAGTTTTCCAACACCGCAATGGAAATTCACGGTTTTGCACTAGTCATCGCACTATTTTTGGCTCATTTATAAAATTATCCAGCTGTGCAGGGAAACGAATGGCACCGAGTTTGTCACTGAAATGAATCAGAAAAAATTGTTCCTTCTTGAAAATGTAGTCCATATTTTATGTGATGAGAAATCTAAAAATCGTAGGAACGTTCTTTTTTATCCACGTGAGGGAGTTTTTGTATTAGATAAGACGGCTCTTTTTCAATGCAAAAAATATGAAGTCAACTTCTGCTTAATTTGTACATGTATACTCAATACTCACTGATAATCGATGAATAAATGTATACAAATTTTGAGTGTAACGTTTGGGTACACTGCTATGAATATAAAGGCAGTGCCAAATTTTGTACTTTCGACTGTACTTAATCGTACTTTTAATTTTTGAGAAATACTTCGCGACCGCAAATAAGGACCTTTCCAATCAAGCAGAACACAGATTTATGTGCTGTTAGCTCGGACATTCGCTAGGAAGATCACTTGCCTGGACCCTGAATAAGGCACCATCTGAGTTTTAAGCTGGTGAATGGAAAGGGTCGAAAATGTATTTTTCTTTTGTACCACAAAATTTACCTACGTTATGCGTTATAATGCCCGATTGATTTGCCTGAGATACTTATTCACTATGATGATAACTGGATTGCATTTTGCAAAAAGGAACCAGAAGTATTGCGATGATGCTAAGATTGTGCATTTTCATCCTTCGCAATAAAGTTACTGAAAACATGAACAAGTGTGAAATTTAAATTTTAATTTTGTCTTAAATTTACAGTTTTTAGCGAGTAAAATAGAAACTGTGAATGAATAATCAGGTTTTCCTTCCAAAACAAAAGAAGTTGCACAATCTTGGCAACATTGCAATGCTCCCGGTTCCTTTCTGCAAAATGCAATCCAACTTATCAATGACTAAAGTTCAAAAGTGCATATTTCCGATTAAGACGTTGCAAATCTACATTCATGATTCTTTTTTCTCTCTTTCTTTTTTCTTCTTTTTTTTTAATGAAAAGAAGTGAAAAATAGTTTCAATGGAACTTTGCTGCAGAGTTCCTTCAACTTTTCAATTTCATCGAGAGAGAGGTTCAAGTGAATATTTAGGTTCGTTCCATTTGGAATGAAATAAAACATAATCGGAGGTTTTGAAACTCACTCGAAAATAGTGACGTTGTCAGCTCTGGTTTGACTGAGCTTTTCCTCGTCGAGACAAGCCTGGATGTTGCGACTCTCCTCCATGATGGTGAGTAGATTCAGCTCCTCGCGGCCCAGTTGGTACTCGAGCTCTGCCTGCTGAATCCGAGTGTCGATGTTACTGCAACAAACAAAAAATATAACAAATTATGGTCCGAGACAAACATTCTTCAAAAAATTCCTGCAATTCGCTGTAAAAGGACCTGTCCCATTGAGGACCCATTTTGGCCTGTTTACACGCTCAAATTTCCGTCAAATTCCGATCAAAATGATGACCAAGATGGCGGTCGAGAGTTATCTAGATTGATGAGTAAAATTGTTTAAAACAGCGTGTTGATTGAAATAAGCATGAAATAAGCACGGTTGTGTGGAAATGAGATGAAGGATGAGTCCCACAGTTCCATCATCTACCATAAAATTTTTGCAGGCCGCAGAAATTTGATGATAGATGGTGCGCACCAGTCACCATTTGATTGGAAATTGATGGGAATTTGAGCGCGTAACCAGCACATTTCCGTTCCGTCGAGGGTTGTTCTTTCAATGGTGAAAAGTTTAAGATACCTTACAAATCGTCCCTAATCACAGTATAAACCATTTAAGTGACCCTCAGGAAAGGAGCGGGCTAAGAAACGACTATGAATACAACCCTTATTCTGCCGTGCTAAGATAAAACGCCGTATGAGCCTTTAGACGTTGCCAAATTTTCTCCGAAAAATCACCAACTTTCGGTTAAATTAGTTGATATATTTCTTCCAATATTTCAGAAAATTTTGCTGGTGATTTAATCTGAAGAGTTGGAATCAGTGTTCGAAACTCACAGGCGCCTAAAATGCGCGCCCAAATGCGCCTAAAAAATCGGCCACGGCGCCTAAAAAATGAAGACTCTGCGCCAACGTGGCTCCTAAAAATTCCCCCCTAAATATCTGAATTTTCATAATAGGTGATTATTCGAAATTTTCAGCACAAGTGAAAGCTTTTTCTATTCTTCACGATTTCATCATTTGTGCTTTTTGTTCAATTATTTTCTTCATTATTTTAGTTACGAAAACATCTTGAGTCTATATTTTCACTAAATGCGCCGTAATATATAGGCAAAAAGTCAATTTGGCCCCTAAAAAATCTTCAATGACGCCTAAAAATCGGGCTCGATGCGCCACATGGCTCCTAGAACTTAAAGGTGAGTTTCGAACACTGGTTGGAATGTTTCAAGAACTAATACTCACAATGTTCCTCAAAAATAAATGTTTTAAGAGTAAATTTGACAATGTTCGGATGTTGTGATGGCGTTTTTCCTCACTAGGCAGTATTGCTCACAGGAGACTTAATGACTCCCGGTCAATCGTCAAAAATTCGGTTGGGAAATGGAGAGTATTAATGAGAGCGATGCGGCAACAAGGTGATGATGGTTAGACTCGCACAACAGGTTACAAACTCGAGCGTGGTTACAATTACGGGTTACAATTATGAGAGCGTCGAGTCGCTTACTTTCTTTCCCCGGGCAGAAGTTCAGAGGTCCCATCTCAACTTTTTCCTCCCGCCCGGCCCGGCGTGGCGCCCGGTCCTCCCGTGAATGCCAACGAAAGCTCCAAGCTCCAAGCTCCGTCGCCAACGCGCTCAAAACATACTCATCTCACGGGCGAGCACCTCTTAACTCTCTAGGAATAATAATGTAATACACTATCCAGAAGGTATGTTTTTTGTGCAGTACTGATTAATTTATTGTTTTTTTCGTTTTCTTTTTTTTAAAAAAAGAAGCTGAAGGCTTCGAGGCAAAAGAAACGAGGAAGCTTTTTTTTAAAAAAGGAGATCGGCAAACTACCAACGGTAAAAAAACAAGGGGGAAAAATGGGGAAAAAGACTAAAATACACAATTAATAAAAAACCTAGACCTTCCGACTCAAAACTGAGTCATTTTCAGTCGGAAATACAGTAAAGATTTTTTAAAAAAGAAGAGAAACGATGAAAACCTGAGCCCTATATGGTGGGGGAGAGAGAGATGGTACCGCATCACTCGCTAATCTACGATGCTACAATGTTGATTGGGTTTTGAAAGGATGCGACTATTCGGCGCGCTGGGAGGCATCTCCTCACGATGAAGGCGCTTCTAATGCGTCGTCACACCGTATCAAAGAAATATGTGAGGCAACTGCATGTATCGCTAATCTACACGGAGAAAAAAACTTCGTGCGTGGGACCCTAGTCCAGTCAATTTAGCTCTAAATAAGGGTCATCTGGGAAAATCCATATATAGAAGGTTTTTTTGCGGAAACATGTTGCATTAGGCTACCAGAACAACATATCAAAAGTTTACCAAAATCGGCCGTCCGCTAAGGCCGCCATCTTGAAAAAAGGGGGGGGCGGGGGGCCAAAATACGCCGCCGGCGACCGGTTTTTAGCTTATATCTTGACAAATATCGATCCTACGGAAAAATGTCACTGAACCTTTTAAAAAGATCATAAAATTTCTTATTAGAAACACTATACATTTATCAAGTTGCGACTTCTGGTTCGTGAGTTATGGCGGTAGTTTCCTGCGGCTAGGAAAGTCAAATCTTGCGAGAAATCACGTTTTTTTCAACAAAATCTGTAATTATCTTAAAAACGGCGAGTCTGAGGCAAAAAAGTGTTCTCACCGGAATGAAAGAGCATGAAATTTCCATGCTAAAAATGCTTATGAATTCACTAGGGGGTCCGCCCCCGGAGCGCTATGCGGTCCGAACCAACGGCGGCTACTACGCGGTGAGGCTCGGCTTGGCCGCGCCATCATGAACTGTTGCGGTCCAAGATGAAACGGCTTCACTTTTTTGGTAGATTTACCGCGAGGGTAAGTCATTTTATCCATTTAAATATGTGCTAATTTCCTTTCATCATGAACCCCCCCCCCTCCCCCTATAGGTCATGCATGTTGTATAGTTAACAAATGTCAACGGTCGCGCTTGAAGATAATGTTATTATTTTATGCTTTCTTATTCAAATTAAATTTGTCAAACAACAAATCTTCTTTTTTCAAAGTAACTAAAAGGAAATGAATTAATACAAAATATAGAAATAGGAATAAGACAAGCATTTCTTCGTTTATTACCTTAAGCGGTGGAATCGTTTATTAATACCTATGTGTTGAAAAGCATGATGGTCTTGAAGGTTCAATTGTTTTTGATGGATACGAACAAAAAGCGCAACAGATTCTACAAAAAGCATTGAAAGGTGACGACGTTATAGCTTTAAGAAATGTCCTGCCTTAATTTTTTGTGAGGACACTCCTCTATCCGTGGCCCAGGACTTGCTTCTATCTACATATAATGAAAAGAATGAGGCGCGTTTGATTTGCTTGCTATCGAAACACTTTACTACAGGGAGTCAAGTTAAAGTATCTCAAGCAGAGGACGATGCGGATTCTCTCATCGTAAATGAAGCTCTCAGTCTGCCGAGAGGAACGAAGAAACAAGTTGTTATCGTTGGTAGAGTACCTATATTGAGAGAGTATGGCCACTGGGCCCCATGGNGCGGACGGCCGATTTTGGTAAACTTTTGATATGTTGTTCTGGTAGCCTAATGCAACATGTTTCCGCAAAAAAACCTTCTATATATAGATTTTCCCAGAAAAATGCTAGATTGACTGGACTACCCGAAGTTTAGGTCATATGGATCTCTGAAGTTTTCGGATTGAGCATCCGAACACTTATGGTCCAGCTGCTGAGGTTTGGATCACACATCTGAAGCTTCAGTTCATACATCTGAAGTACTTCGGTTTTCACATCCGAGAAACTTCGGTTCTCACATCCGAAAATCTTCGGTTCTCTCATCTGAAGTACTTCAGATGTAAGAAATGAAGTTTCAGATGTGTGATCCGAACCTCGACAGCTAGACCTAAAGTGTTCAGCTGCTCAATCCGAAAACTTCAGAGATCCATGCGTGACCTAAACTTCGGGTCCCACGCACGAGGTTTTTTTCTCCGTGTACGTGCTGCTTCTTAGTTGATTCGATAGTAAATTGATGCAACTATTCGGGCACTACGGCCACGCTAGGAAGTATCATGCCGCAATGAAGGCGGTTTTTACCTCTCCTCACTCTCTCCCGCCATTCATAAAATACTTATCTCAAGCAGCCGCATCACTCTCTAATCTACGCTGGTATACTGTTGATGGGGTTTAAAAAAGATGCAACTATTCTGCCTCTGAGGCCGAAAGCTGTCCCCGAACATTCATGAACAAGAACGCCTTATTTTTGAAAACAGATACGAGACGCCGCGCCACCAAAAGACGCCTTTTTCTTCAGATACTAAGCTAGAGAAGGTAACCTTTTGCACATCAAGGCACCTGCTGCTCCCATATCAATGCTTCTTCATATTCGTTCTCATTTTCCCTGCCCCTCTCTCCCCTATTTTTTTCTCATTCTCCCTCGTTTTCTTCCAATTTTTCTCCCCCTCTCTCCTTTTCTCTTTTCCCTTCTATCCTTTTCTCTTTTTCCCTTCCTGCCCCCTTCCTTTATCATTTTGATTCCTCCGGTAATACGGCGCCTGGTTCCCATACCTCCTATCGCTCCACCCTCGCGAGGTTACTACCTTTGATCTTAACTTTAGTATACCCAATGATTACAATTCAAAACTTGTTAGAGCGCGATCTCTGAAATATTTAGTCAATGCTTTTAAAAGGCTTTTTGGCTACAACGAATAAAAAACAGAAAAATCACATTTTCCGGATTTTTCACAAAGAAGTTTCAAAAATTTGACGATGAAAATTGAAAATTGAAAAGAGCGTAATTCTTTTTTACATCATGTTTACAGATTAACTGCACTGAAAAAAGAACACGGTGGATCTAGAGTCCAGACTCTTGAAAACATTGACAAGAAAAAATCCTCTTGATTCAATCTGATTTTTGCTTGAATCAAAACGAAATCCGTTTAAATTAAGAGGTTTGGTTCTTGATTTAAGCTAGATTCTGATTGAATCAAGAGTGCTTTTTCTTGTCGATGTTTTTAAGAGTCTGGACTCTGGATCCAATGTGGTTTTTTTCCGGTGTGTAGTTTTTGGCAACATTGGAAACCGCGAGTCGAGTTCGTCGGGGCTCACAAGGAGCAAAGTTGCCAGATTATGTGGAAACCCCTGGATATTTTCAATTGAG